ACCGGCCCGGTTGTCTACCGGTTCCGGGCCGTTTCCGGGTCGGGCCTGGTCCGGTTCTATTTTTTTTCTTGATTATTTCATCCTCATCCCCCATCCCCAAACCCATCGGAAACACCCAACCCAGCCCATTTAAACCCAGCACAAACAAAAAAAAATAAAAAAAAATAAAAAGGCCCGAACCGGGCCCAGCCTGACCGGTTCACATTTGAGCAGTCCCGGAATCGCCCCAGTTTCGTCCTTAAACCAGGCATAGACCCGGAACCGGTTCCCGGGCCAGGCCCACATAGTGCCGGGTCCACACAGTACCGGGCCGGGCTGGTTCCATGGTTGGGTGGCCCGCACAAGGCCATCACTAATCTGAAATCAGAGTAGCTGCTTGTTGATAGCTGTTATATTTACTTGTGTTTAACATAAGTATTTATAAGTATTTGTTGAAGAAAGTAAGAGAAATCGGGCAAATACCTCCAGAATGAGAGCTAGAGCATAAAACATCGCGAAGAACGACTTTTTAGACCAAGAGAATGACGTTCTGCCCATAATTTGAGTATAACGTATTCTATAGAACTCGAAATCACTCGATTCGAGTTTCATGTGAATTCTAACTCAATAAGGTACAAATGTTATGAAGACGTCATGGCCAAAATATGAAAGGAACAAGACTCAATCAACCAACAAAGTCAGATGTTGCTGGTGGGATTTCAGGATGCATACCTCTCAGTGTTTTAGCCATAACGTTTGATTGGATGAATAAAATCACGTCATTCAAATTTTGGTGGATAGAAGACTTCATTATCTACAACTTTCGTGAAGGAATCATGTCCAAATTCGTAGCGGAACATCCCCAAAATCCTGGGACAAAATCTGACACTTTTTGATCAATTGCGGAAGAAGAGAAAGGAAGCGCATTTTTGGGGGCTGCAACCGGCGCCGGTAAGCCTAGAACCGGCGCCGGTTGGAAGGCTTTTTCGCACTAAACGAGCCTGTTTGCGACCGGGGCCGGTTCTAGACTGACCGGGGCCGGTTGGGACGATTTCAGCTCAAACAAAAGGTCGTGCAAGAAGATTTTTGATGGGAAAACTTCACCTTCCTCATCTCTTGATCAAATATTGCTCCATACCTGATTGTTGGGCTCGAATAGACTAAAAGATGCCATTCTTTAGCCTATATAAAGTCCTCAATTCATCAAACATAAACATTCCATTCCATACTTTAATTCCTAGTTTTTATAATTTGTTCTTGCTCTTTTTCTTCAAGTTCTTGAGGAGGAAACTTCAACCTCCAAATCCATTGGTGTTTAGGTATTATTTCCTTTGTAATTTCATGTTCCATTACATTTCAATATTGTTTGTTGATTAATATGAGCATTAGAGGCTAATTTCTTAGCTAAGGCTAGGGATGAACCTCTATGCACACTAGGTGTTTGATAAAAGTTCTAAACCAATAAATTGTGATTTATCCTTTATATTTTGATTGTTTATGACTATGGTGTACAACATAGAAGTATGTTAAATTTAGTTTATGCTTGCAATTAACGTTGAAGTCTAAACTATGAACATTAAAGGATAAACATATATAGTACCGAGAATAGAAATATATCCGGTCTTATATGATACGGGTGTGATGTCTTGATATTCAACGGGGTTTTCGGTAGATGAATGTAAGCCGTAACGGGACTTACGCGTAACGAAAACCACGCTCTCGCTGCCTTAACCGGAGTTGAGAATATATTAGCGACATCGTATTCATGATTATTGGGGAAGAACTATTATTAAACAAATATTAAAGCATTTAGGTGAATCCCGATTGCCTTAGTAATTCTCATTCTTGTTTAAATCAACATCAAAGAACAAAGTTCCTGAAAAAATATATCATTTATATTCTTTCCATTCAATATTTGACTTTATAATATCAACCATTTCCCTGTGGATCGACCCGGTATTTACCGGTATTTTATTACTATATCGGCACTTGTATACTTGCAAGTTCAGCCCGGTCACTTGTATCTCTCTCCATGCCATTACCTTATACGGAGTTATGGAATCTCTTTGTCATAACAGCAAGACTGCAAGGCTGTTACGCATATTTTAAAACCAAACATGCGTAATGCACTATGTCCTCATATTACGCATTCTATATTTTGGTAAATACCATAACGCTATACACATTTTACATTTTTCATTTCATGTGTACAGAGATTCCAAAGCTAATAAAAGTTTGTGGTGCAACTGGTTTCCAGTTATTTCATGAACTACAAAAATGAAGAATCTTTCTCACAATGTTAAATACAATATATATAGTAAAGGGCTATTCTAATATTGAATATAAGATGGGCTGATAAAACAGGCCCAAACACTCTCTTTTATTCTTTAGACATAGCATTTTTCCCTTTCCCCTGGTATTTAATTTCCATCATCCAACCATAACATTAGAAATGGAGGGAGTATAATGTCGTGCGGAACCATGTTTCACTTTTTTGCCTAGAAAGAAGGGGATGGGGTACAGAACGTAATACTTCATATTTCAGTGTTGGTAAAGTTGTGTACTAAATATTAGATTCCATATCTCATCCCTTCCTACATAACGACCGAAGATAGCCATGTATTTTCACAACAATGCTTTCGAATAGCTACAATTTGGTTAAGATTAAATAGGATTGGAGGAGAAAAGAACAGGGCACAAATACAAAATCAAACTGAGTTAAGCTGATCTATTAAATTTCTTTTTGAGAAAAAACATATCTAAGTGGCCGGTTTAAATATTTTTATTATGTAGTACAAACCTCCTTGGCAACAGCTCGAGCTGTTCTCCAGTTATCGCCAGTGACCAGCACAGGAGTGATACCCATTTTCACTAGCCCCTCCACAACAATTGGTGTAGCAATTGGTGTCACACATATTTTATGTGTTCACATTTAAGAACTTTATGTTCATATTCATGTGGTGTGTATTACAAATTTGTACTAATTCTTGTACTTTAGGTGTACTAATTCAATGTTCGCAAAAGGACATTGCATATAGTCATATTTCAAAAGAAGTTTATGAGTAAGACTAAAATAAGACTACATTTCCACATTTAACAACTTTATGTTCATATCATACGATGTGTATTACTCTTATGCATTATGGATATGTTTAAGCAATGTTTCAGCAGTATAATCTACTAAATTGCATATATGCTTTATACTTTTGCACTAATTTTTATACTTACTTTAATTAGCGGTAGGAGTTTAATGTCTACACATGTGCCATTAACGACTAGTTAATGTCTACTTATGCACTTCATTTCTTACTTGAAGCAGACATTACATTTGAATTCAATATCAAATAAAACATGAATAAGCATTTCATATGACACCAAAAAAAGAGATTGCATATAGTTATATACCGAAACCAAATGTTACCAATATTAGGGAAGAAGTCTTAATGACCAAACGAAACAAGTTTTACAAGTTTTTTGCATTTCCAAAAACCTAATCAATACAAATCATTTTAGTCGAGCTATTGGATTTGTGGTACATCTCAATATATCATACTTCCTCCGTTCTTTTTTAAATGCAACGGTCCACTTTTCACGTTTGCCAATGCACAAGTTTGACCATTAATATCTTTCGTTCCTTATTAGTAAAAAAATTAAAAAATTAGATTTTGAAAATTTGAAATGAGAAGAATTTTACAATATTTTTTTAAAATTTAATTTATAATACATTGATAAATAAAATAAAGTCAAAGTAGAACACATGAATAGTGGAAAAAGTCCAATGTTTCATTTAAAAAGAACGGAGGGAGTATTAATCAAGCTTCGGTACAGATCATATTCATGCTTTCAACATCTCCATCTGCTCCTTTTGCCAATTTAGAAGTTTAAACATTCTGTCATTTATTGCATCTTCTTGAATTGGAGGATGACTGTATCCTTAATGATAAGCATGATTATTGTATCCTTTCTTTGGTTGTCAACAAATTTTCTTCTCTTAAGCAAACTATTTAATCTTCATAGTCCTCCACTTAAGTTGCACACTTGGCATTTTGTTCCTTCATGCCAACATCTTCTTAGTCAGGGCAATCAAAGTGTGCAACTTTAGACGACTTTTGTTGATGTCCAGTCCCACATTCATGAACTTCACAATCTTCTCGATCATTTCCATCAACATAAACATTTGTTCTCTATTTTGGTGGCCTAGGTTTCAAAGTAAGATGGCTTGATTCGACAGGCTCATTCACCATGTTTGCATAAAATGCATTTAGCGTTGGAATCTTAAGCTCATCCTCGGTGATTGCATTCTCTGATATTCAAACTGCAGCACATAAGAGAAAATATGCATACCCTAAGTTAGTGCACATCACATCACAAACTAACAGGCCTTCGCATCACTTTGGTTAAACTCCCGTGTTCTAACTAACTCCTGTAATCCGAGAAAGCTTAGGTCAAATTAACGGGTGGGAAATTGGGGAATTTTACCAACGTTTAGGCTTTCTGATGGGAATAGCCACGTCAAGTTAAGTGCCGGGTAAGGGAGGGACATGTCGGGTTACATGTCACCCATTAACAGGCTAACCGGGCGTCCACCGGCTAAAAAGTCTGATTGGTTGGTTTTGGTGAGTACGCGGACTTGATTGGGTGATTCAGAAGTACGAGGGCTTAATTGAGGAATTGGCCAAAGTACGAGGGCCTATTTGATAGTTTTAAAAAGTGTAGGCCGGGACATTCAGGAGCCAAGGCAGGTCTGGCTCACCTACGGATCTACCGGCCGCTGCATGCTCCTAAGAACTAGTTGGCATTCAACTATTGGTTGTGAACTTTTTTTATAAGGAGTGTTTGGCCATGTATTTATGTAGCAAGTAAGCAAGGTAGTTATGACAAAGAAAAGACTGAAAAATAAACATAATATATCAAATAATTTGTATTACTCGTATTATATCTTCATGTGAAGCATTCAATATATTATTGCTGAATACCATCACGCTACACGCATTTTACATTTTCCATTTCATGCATGCGTACAGAGATTCCACAACTAATAAAAGTTTGTGTGGTGCAACTGGCCGGTTTCCAGCTTTTTTCATGAATTACAAAACTGAACTCTTACAAGGGTTAGAAACTTGGGACATACGAAAGATTTCTGAGCTTCCTCATATTTTTGAATTGGGATCCAAAATATATTACATACAGGGATCAAGGTTACATACCTTTTCAAGTTACATAAAGAGAGGATGTTATTATTACGGAGTTTAATTTTCTTTTTTTTTACTCTACAGTAATTTCCAGTATGGTGGTGAGTCTGGGTCTTTTATATCTCTTGAGAAGAAGAGAAGAGCAGACAACACTGACAGAGGACATGGCCATGCATGCACCGGCCATCCAAGGCGGCATCTCAACTTTTACCAAAGGAAAGAAAACGCCAGCATCAATCGGGATGGCAACCACATTGTAAGCCGTAGCAAACATGTAATTCCATCTAATCCAAGCTATGGTCTTTCTTGAGAGATCAATTGTTGTGATGACGTCCTCCAACTTTGACCGATTATATATTTATGCACGGTAATATTGATAATATGTAAATTATATGAAAATGTTCTTCATTAAAAATACTATCATAAAAGTATAAATTTATTAACTTTTACATAAATATGTTAGTTAAACTAATGTGTCAAAGTTTATCATCTTTTACTGGAAATGTCAAAGTTGGCTAAATAAAAAAGACGAAGGTAGTATCTCTTTTTTATCCATTTGTTTGTTTTTAGTACTCTTTATCTATTCGATCTTAGCCCTTGTTGATCAGGTCAATTATAGGCTTATAGCTATTTGTATTTTTTTAGGGTAAGGCCGTAAGCTATTTGTATATCGTTTTGCATGTTATTATTACATCACTATTAGATTTTTTGTCATTTGCTACTCCTTTTTTGTTGCAGTTAAGAAATAATCCACAACAAAATGTGAATATATTGAGCCATTTGAATAGTGACGGTCTTTTTTAAACTGCATCAATTGTACCAAAAAGTAGACCATTTGATGTGGTCACGTAGCAACCGCAACAATTACGATTTACAATTTCAAAAGAAATTCTTTTTGCCGCACGCCGCAGCAATTGTGTTAAAAAACAAACTTTTTGCTGCGGGCCTAAGGCAACCACAACAATTACATCTAGCTACAAAGTTATTAAAAAAATATAATTTCTTGCGGTATGAAACAACCACGCAAATTTTGATTTTATTTAATATATTCAACTATTAATTATTTGATAATATCTAGATCTCATCATATCTTACAAACTCTGGTATATAGAGGTCTTCACTGAGCTGGTGAAAGAGAAAAAACGGGAATCCTTCACTAAATTTAAATCTACATGGAATTCTAGCTACCTACAAAAAATATGTAGCTCTTCATTCAATATATTGTTAATATTGTTTTCAATATATTATGGATTATATGTATGTTGATACCCCCACCACATGCATTCATCCATCCAATCTCTAAGTTCGATCTTTATTTTCAAATATTCTCGAGATAAAATATTCTTTTACACGTACCGCACTTTATCAATTATCAATTACGATTTTTACCAATTAATAGTACGTACTTATATGTTATACGAAGTATATACAAAGTGAAGAGAAATCAATATGATATTTGTATTATTGTATAATTCATAAAGTTGGGAAATTTATTAGTGCAATTGACTCATTGTATAATAAGTCTTTCTAAAAATGAGAAAATTATACCCCGTCATGATTTAGTTTTGAGTTCCATTTTAGTTTTTGTTACCTTCTTTTATACTAATACGTAGTATATCACGAAGTATTATATTCTTAATTTGTGAATAAGATTTCAATTACTGTCCATTTACGTATTATAATGCATTTCTTTTCCAACCAAACAAACAAGTATAAGTGTAAATTAGGAAGGACTTGTAAATGGATAAAGCATAAAGGGAAACATATACTATCATATAAAAGAACTATACTTCCTTCATAAGTTAGTGGATATGCCCCAATGGCACTATATATATGGAAACAATATGTAGCTCTCTTATAATATATGTGGGAATATAAATTGTTCAGCTATAGTTTAATTTGAGTAGTTATTTTCTTAATAGAATTGTGCTCCTATATTTTATCTCAAAGCTTCAAGGTTAAAGTCACTTCTTCCTGGACTTGTTTTCGTATATACACATCTTTTGTTCTAATTCGTGAGATTTCTTACAAAGCTAGCTCGCTAGCAAAATAATTAAGAATGGGCAATAATCATTTTCATTATTACTTGTGCTACCAATGCTTTGAGGGATTCCGTTCTACTAATGAAGTCACCTCTTGTCGTCTATGTTTATCTGAATTGTATTTGTATGAGATTCAAAGCAATATGTTCTACATTGGGGATATCAACAACCATCGAGCACCCCCGCTATTAGTTCATCAATGGCATTCAAGATATCATGAAAAATCAAATCCATCTCTAACGCTTGAGCGGCCTGGAATTGTGACCCGTTTAATATGGCGAGGAAGAGGTGAGAAACCCCAACCCCGACCTATGGGATGGAAAGGTGAGTTGGACCGGCTTCAAACTACCATCGAACCGTTAATACAATGCAGTCAATGGTATTGGTGCTACCATTGTCGTAGACTAGGTCATATAAGAGAAACAAGTGGGGCCGTTTTAACGACTCCTCCTCTTTCTCTTATTATTCCTGAAATCATGCGATGTCAGGAATGCTCACTTGAAAGAGCGGTCAGATCCACGGTTGCGACAGTTGACAACCATGACCCCATTTGTTGGTGTTACCAATGTCACAAACCTTATCGTGTTGGAGTTTGTGTCGACTGGAGTGGCTACGGGATTGCAATCAGAAAGTTGTGCCCGGGAGAGGATTTCACTAGCATATTTTTGTTGATTTAGGAAAATACCATGAGGGTGACGTGTGACTGCTATGCCCAAAAAATAGCTGAGTGGACCGAGGTCCGTCATGGCAAACTCAGTAGCTAAAGTTTTAATAATAGAGATCCGAAGGTCATCTGATGAAGTGGTGAGGATGATGTCGTCGACATATAAGAGCAAGTACGCAGTTTCATTGTTGTGATGATAAGTAAACAGTGATGGATCACATATACTGTGGCCGAAACCAATGGTAGATTGAAATGATGAGAATCGATGATACCATGCCCGGGGTGCCTGTTTGAGGCCGTACAGTGACTTGAGAAGACGACATACATGGTGAGGTTTGGAGGGGTCACGGAAACCGGGAGGTTGATGCATGTATACGGTTTCTTCGAGGTGACCGTGGAGGAAGGCATTTTTGACGTCAAGTTGATGAAGGGGCCATGAGTGGTGTAGTGCAATTGACAAGACCGTGCGGATAGTGGCCGGTTTTACGACCGGACTGAATGTTTCTTCACAGTCAATGCCGAGTTGTTGAGATTTGCCGTTAACCACGAGACGGGCTTTGTGACGTTCCAGTGCTCCATCAGACCTATATTTGTGTTTAAAAGCCAAAGGCAACGGATAATATTGACGTTAGGGGGGCGGGGAACCAACTCCCACGTCCTATTTTTAATAAGAGCACCAAATTCGTCTTGCATGGCGGACAGCCAGTTCGGGTCACGTAGCGCAAGAATTGGGGATTTGGGTATAGGTGACGGGTTTTTTTGACGTCTGGGATAAGAGGGATAGAGGAATTTTGGGTTTGAAGATTCCAACCTTGCTACGTGTGAGCATGGGGTGGGTAGGAAGTATGGGAGGTGGTGACGTGCGTGATGATGAACTGGGTGGGGAGCTAGGTGGGGAGTTATTCGGTGGTGTGGGGCCTGGAGAGGGAATAAAACGGTGACAAGAAGGTGAAGGTGGAGTAGCTGGAGACTCATGGTGTGGGGGCTGAGTATTGGGATTGTTCCCGAGATGGGATAAGATAAATGGAGGTATGGGATGATGGTTTTGGAAATTATTAGTATGTGGTAGGGACGGTTTGTCGGCTAGATATTTGTAGGGAAAGTAGTGTTCATTGAACGTAACATGACGAGATAAAATGAGTTTACCCGTTTGTGGGTTAAGGCAAATATACCCTTTATGATGTGTAGGAAATCCAAGAAAGATGCAAGGATAGGATCTAGCATCTAACTTATGAATGGTAGAAGGGGGTTGATTTGGGAAACACAAGCAACCGAAAGCTCGTAGATGTTCGTAAGTTGGTGTTTTGTGGTATAAGATATGTGTAGGGGATAGATTGGAGAGGGTTGGTGTAGGAAGAATATTGTGTATATAGGTGGCCATTTGGACGGCGTGAGGCCAGAATTTGGGCGGAAGAGATGCTTGTAAGAGTAGGGTACGAGCCGTATTATTTATAGTACGGATGGTGCGTTCCGCTTTCCCGTTTTGAGGAGATGTATAGGGACAGGAAAAACGGAAATGCAAGCCATTTTGTGTAGCAAAAGAGGTAAAGGAGGAATTGTCAAATTCTTTACCATTATCACATTGTAGAGTTTTTATTTTTTGACTAAATTGCGTGTGAATATAGTGGTAGAATTTGACAAAGGTGTCATATACTTGGGACTTATGTTGTAACGAAAAAACCCAAAGAAATTTGGAAAAATCATCCAAAAATAACACGTAGTAGCGGTGAGCATTTGAACTTAAAACAGGAGAAGTCCAAACATCACTATGAATAATGTCAAACGGGGAATGCGTTTGAGATACAGAAGAACTAAATGGGAGTTTATGATGTTTACCCATTTGACAAGCCATACAGTCTAAACTACACAGTTTATTACAAGGGATAATTTTATTGGAACTAAGAAACTGAAAAACTGGGTTGCCGGGGTGGCCAAGGCGGTGGTGCCATGTCTCAGCCGAGGTGGCAATGAGTGCAGCGGGTGAGGAAGACTTGACACGGACCGGATTGAAAGGGTAAAGATCTCCCGAACTATCACATCTCATAAGAGGCATTCCCGTGCGGAGTTCCTTCACAGAAAAACCAAGTGGGTCAAACTCAATTGAAACATTGTTATCAGTGGTAAGACGGCGAACGGAAATTAAATTTTTGACTAATTGAGGAGCATGAAGAATATTTTTTAGGAGAAGGGGTGGGTTGGGAGGGGAAAGAAAAGAGTTGCCGTAACCCATAATAGGTATGGATTGACCATTTCCCACCATAATACGGTTTTTAGTACTATTATTAAAATGAGACGTAAAAGTACCTCCCTGTGATGTCATGTGAGATGTGGCCCCCGTGTCAAGATACCAGTTGTCATCTGGAGGAGTGAGCGACATGGTAGCCATGGCCGAGTTGATGTCGGTAGGAGACGGGGTGGCAATGTGTGCTTGTTGAGGCCGTGGACCAAGTATGCCGGTCGCAGGAGAGGGAGGCCTCGAGCTTTGGTGTCCGGACCATGGAGTAGAGGGATAGGGGCATGGTGGGATGCTCCATGGGGGCGGCCAGTAACCCCACGGCGGCATCTGCCACGGGCCGGCAGTTGGGGTTGCCGAAGAAGTGCCGGAGGAACGGTTGCGACCACCACGTGAAGACCCACGTCCCCTTCCGCGGTGTGGAGCACGGCCAGGCTGAACCTCCGGTCGTTGCACAGGAGCCGGAGTGCCGGTATGGACCAAGGCAGTAGGAGATGAGGTGTGTTGTTGAGCCTTCCTAGTCTCTTCAAGAAGGAGCATGGAACGGGCCTGTGAATAGGGAGGAAGAGGGACGGTTTGTTGAATGATCGAAGCAACCGAGTCATAGGCCGGAGGGAGACCATTCACGATACGTAACACCAAGCGTTGATTGTTAACGGGAGAACCAACGTTAGACAATTTGGTGGCTAGGGTCTTGAGAGTCTGGCAATACGAGGCAATATCCGGAAAACTCTCCAACCGGGTATTGGAGAATTCCGTCTCGAGATGAAGTGCCCGAGAGTTTTTGTTGTCAAGAAAAAGATCGGCCAGACGATCCCATGCTGCTTTGGCTGTAGAGTCCGGCTCGAGAATGGTGTGCAAAAGATCATGGGAAATAGTCCCATAAATCCATTGTAACACCATGGCATCGAGTCGTTTCCATAGTGCATCGGATTCAGCTTTGGCGGCGGCGGCGGCAAGAACTTGCTCCGGGGTGAGTTCTGGGGGTGGTGTGGTGGAAGTGGAGGCAGCCGAGGTAGTTGTTTCAACTGGGAAGATGTGATCTTCAACCTGGTAGGCACGGGTTGTGATCTTAAAAAGTTCGGTCCATGATGAGTATTCCACGTTCTCGAGATCGAGTGTAATAGGAATAAAACTTTTTATATTTGTGAGAGCGAGAGCGGGATGAAAGGAAGGAGATTTGGCGGAAGCCATGGGAGGAGGAAGAAAAGATCTTGCGTCTGATACCAAATTGGAATTTCAACGTGAGTGTATTATTTCCCTTGACGGTGTTTAAATACACGATGCTATACAATTTGAATTGTACCGATAAAGCTACGTAACTAATTAGCTTAAGAAGCTCAAGCCTATCGCCTAACATGTGGCCTATGTAATCGGATAAGATACAACAATAATTTAAAATGATTTGAATATACAACTAGTAAGTACAACAAATACGGATGAGATATGTTATGTGTGCGAGTCAGCCGGAATAATACGGAGAGCATGCATGTGCCATGCATGCGTACCATGCACCATGCATGTACGTTAACACAATCCTCTTCCTCTTCCTCTTCCTCCTCTTCTGGACCGATATGTCCTCGGTGTGAGGACAGTCGATTCATGTCACCGGTGCGAATCTGGAGGAATGTCATCATCTACGGGGATAGCGAAAGAGACTCACCAATGGACCATAGGGGCACTGAAATTAGCTGGTCTGTAGATCCTTTAAGCCACGCACGGTGGACGCATGACCGAAAGGAGTATTTTGGGGGCGCTTATGCAGTGCTGGGTGTGCTTCAACTCAATCACTTCCTAGCAACAATATATGACAATGAACCTTACCCTCCTCGAAGCGGAAGCCTGTCCACCCCGGAACTAATGAGTGTGAGAACCGCCAGTGCTGTTCGCGATTCGGAATTACCCCGGCCAGCAACCGGCCAAGAATGTAGAACTGGTTTGGAAGACCTGGGGGTGAAGAAAATGAACGAAAGCTCCAATTTAAACCTAAACCTAAGAGGAGAAGGTTTATTCAAGTTGTGGTTGTTGGTGGCTGCTTTTATTGGTGGCCTTTTATTAGGCTCCTTAAAATTGATTTGGTGAAGACTGGTCCATCAATCTACATGCACGCCCGCTCATGGCCCTACTTTAATTTATGTATGTACATATTAGGGAAAAGGTGCAAATCGGCCTATGTACTAACCAAAAAAGGTCAAATAAACCCTTATTTAGGAGGCTCTGTCCGGACGTCGTCATTTGGGGTGGTTCCCGATGGAATTTTTTGATGAAATTGTTTGAGCATCTTATTCATTAAGTCTAGTTTACACATACCAAATTTCAGCTAAAACTTCAATCGGGAAGGCATTCAAATGAATTCTTGAAAATAACTGCGCAGTTAGAAGCACAATTATCTTCAAGAATTCATTTGAATGCCTTCCCGATTGAAGTTTTAGTTGAAATTTGGTATGAGTAAACTAGACTTGATGAATAAGATGCTAAAAAAATTTCATCAAAAAATGCCACCGGGAACCACCCCAAATGACGACGGCCAGACAGAGCCTCCTAAATAAGGGCTTATTTGACCCTTTTTGGTTAGTACGTGGGCCTATTTGCACCTTTTTCCTACATATTATATTAATTGATCTAACATGTTGTACGTCGTTCTAAGTCAGTTTATACTGCATGTAATCCTAATCAAATAGAATAAAAGATGTTGGAATACAATCAATCATGCTTTATAATTGCACGTGGAGAACTGTTAGTTGGTAAACAAATACGAACTACGATAGTATTGTTGGAACAAATGAAAAGCCTACTAGAGCATAGACCACTAGAGCATCGTCCAGTTTGACTTTACACCCCATTTTGAGTGACAGATTTTATATCCTGTTTTAGGACTGATGGGTATACACATGCACTAATGATTTTGAAAATATGGTGCAAATTTTAATTATCGCCCAAAATATGGGATGCGCGATAATTCTCCCTAAACAGAATACCACTATTAACTACTCCCTCCGTCCCGAAAACAACTTCCCGGTTGGACTTTCACACACTTTAATGAAATAAATTTGACTTTACTGTAGAATGCACTGTTTTGCACTGTTTAAACACTGTTTGGCACTGTTTAAACACTGTTTGACACTGTTTATCACTTTTTTATGTAGATAATTTGCCAAATAAGGAAAGTATTGAAGTGTGAAGTTAATTTTGGGACATCCTTTAAGGAAAGTGGGAATTTGTTTTCGGGACGGAGGGAGTAGTATATTTAAAAATTTTACGATATATATAGAGTTTTTTCTAAAATATAATTAAAAAATGGTCTAAATTTGCAATTATATAATTTTGTGTAAGAAGAATAGTAAACAAATCGTAAAAACAAGGGAGGTTTCCCTCACTTCTGTTTTACAAATCTACAATAGTATTATTCTATCTTTGGTGTAAACCCCTTGAATCCCCAATATATGTTTTTTTACTTAATACATTAGTGCATTATTAGTTAATAGTTATTATAACTCTTTACTTTTCATTATCAAATTTAGATTTTTAGTTGTTGACTAACTTATTAAATGTTGTATTGTTGAATCATGAAGTAGTGCAATTGTGAATTTATTCATATTGTTGTTTGATCCTGAATACGTGTATCTTAAATTTGTTGGAGTATTAAATATGAGGTATCATTTTCTCAAATAATGAAATTGTGGTTGTGTTTTAGCTTTTCTAGTTAAAAATGGTTGTGAAATCGGATTGTGACGATTTTGTGATATATTGAAATTTCTTCCGCAAAAAATAAAATTTCATTTATTCTATAAAATTTAATAAAGTTTAAAGTATAATAGAATTGGACGAATTTGGATTGGATATAGTCAAAAAGAGAAGAAGAGTAGACAAAAAATTACAATATTTTTTTAAAAAGGTGTAAACTGGGACATTCAGGAGCCAAAGCGGGTCTGGCTCACCTACCGGCCGCTGCATGTTCCTAAGAAGTAAGAACTAGTTGGCATTCAACTATTGGTTGTGAACTTTTTTCATACGCAGTGTTTGGCCATGTACTTATGTAGACATGTAGCAAGGTAGTTATGACATAGAAAAGAGGCTAAAGAGTCAAATAGTTACATGAACTAACTTAAAGTGTTCAATTAGCCCCTTATATAGGAGTTTCTGCCTGGCCGTCGCCAATTGGGGCGGTTCCCGGTGGAATTTTTTGATGAAATTTTTTTAGCATCTTCTTCATTAAGTCTAGTTACTCATACCGATTTTCAACTAAAAATTCAACCGGGAAGGCAGTCAAATAATTTTTTGAAGATAATTGCGCAGTTAAACAGCGCAGTACATTTCAGAAAATCAATTGACTGTCTTCCCGATTTAATTTTTAGCTGGAATTTGATATGGGTAACTAGACTTAATGAACAAGATGCTCAAAAAATTTCATCAAAAAATTCAACTGGAAACCGCCCCAATTGGCAACGGCCGGACAGAACCTCCTCTATAAGGGGCTAATTGAACACTTTAAGTTAATTCATGTACCTATTTGACCCTTTAGCCTAGAAAAGACTGAAAAATAAACATAAATATATCCTCATAGTCGGAATTCGATCAATACCCTCTCAATCCCAACATGATGGTCCCGTATTTCCTTTTTGGGATGTCCCAAAATGATGGTCATGTTTCCCTTTTCGGAAAGAAAGATGTGATCCTCATCATTTTACCTTTTTCTACTCAATTTTCAACCACAATTTTTACCTTTTCAACCACTTTATTAGAATTTATTAGAATTTGTGCCCAAAAGAAATGAGATCATCAAATTGGGACAGAGGGAGTATATTGGTAAATACCATCAAGCTACACGCATTTTACATTTTACATTTCATTTGTACAGAGATTCCACAGCTTACAAAAATGAATACTCTTACAAGGGTTATACGAGTGATTTATGAGCTTCCTCATAATTTTTGAACTGGGATCCAAAATATAATGCATGAAAACATACATCTATACAGCTTTTGAGTACCAAACGGGATCAAGAATACGTGCTTATAAAGTTACATAAAGGGAGGAATGGAGGATGTCATTATTATTAACTTGCTTTTTTTACTCTACAGTAATTTCCAGTATGGTGGTAAGTCTGGGTCTTTTATATCTCTTGAGAAGAAGAGAAGAGCAGACAACACTGACAGAGGACATGGCCATGCATGCACCGGCCATCCAAGGCGGCATCTCAACTTTTACCAAAGGAAAGAAAACGCCAGCAGCAATCGGGATGGCAACCACATTGTAAGCCGTGGCAAACATGTAATTCCATCTAATCCGAGCTATGGTCTTTCTTGAGAGATCAATGGCTGTGATGACGTCCTCCAAGTTGCTCTTCATCAGAATATAATCTGCCGCTTCGATCGCGATATCTGTTCCTGCGCCGATTGCCATCCCAATGTCCGCTTCTGCTAATGCAGGAGAGTCATTGATTCCATCTCCCACCATCGCCACTACACTCCCTCCCTTTTGAAATGACTTCACCACATCCACCTTTCCAGCCGGCATCACTTCTGCTCTAACATCTTCAATCCCAACCTGCAGGTACCAAGAATTTAAAAAAAAAACAAAAAAATATATCCCACCATCAGACTCGGCTTTTTCAAAAGTTTGATATGCATACCAATGGACACACACATCATTTGAGTTATCCATATTTATTCTTGCAATTATTTTTATTTTTACACTATCATTTGGCAAGAAGTTGTGTGATTGAGAATTAGAAATCGAATTGAAGTCAACCACATAATTATTTCTTTAAAAGCAAAAGAGAGAGTTGTGGGGATGGAAAAGAAGGAAAGTAGGAAAAAGCTTTAGGCCCTGTTTGGAACTCAGAAAATACAAGGCAAAGCAAAGCAGGTCAATAAATTTTCAATTTTCGAAATTTATTTGTGCTATTTGTTCTAAGTCATTTTGCCTATTTATTTCAGTTATATAAAGACTAAGAAACCTAAATGTATGAACATATAACTAAAAATTAAAATGAATAATATGTAGTATTACTTTTTTCTTAGCATTCTCTTAAGGTAAAGTTAAACATAGCATTTTTCCATTTCCCCTGGTATTTCCATCATCCAACCATAACATTAGGGATGGAGGGAGTATAATGTCGTAAGGAACCATGATTTACTTTTTCACCTAGAAGGAGATGGGGTACAGAACATAATACTCCGTACTTCATATTTCAGAGTTGGTAGAGTTGTGTAATTTTAAATATTAGATTCCATATCTCATACCTTCCTGCATAACTGAAGTTAGCCGTATATTTTCACAACAATGCTTTTGAATAACTACAATTTGGTGAAGATGTAATAGGATTGGAGGAGAAAAGAACGGGAAACAAATACAAAATCAAACTGAGGTAAGCTGATCTATTAAATTTCTTTTTGTGAAAAACATATTTAAGTGGTTTAAATGTTTTCTTTATGTAGTACGGACCTCCTTGGCAACAGCTCGAGCTGTTCTCCAGTTATCGCCGGTGACGAGCACAGGAGTGATGCCCATTTTCACTAGTCCCTCCACAACAACAGCAGCTTCTCTCTTTAAAGGGTCAGCTATCCCCATGACACCTATTACAACATCGTCGCAAGCCACCAGAACACCAGTCTTTGCACTTTCTTCCAACTCTACAACAAAATTTTCCACATCTGTTGGTATACTTATCCCATTTTCAGTCATTAGCTTCCTGTTGCCAACCTGTTTGATTCCATGACAATCCAAATAAGTAAACCTTTTACATTCCAATATACACACACAATCAAATGTATATAAGTAGGCATGACATGACTCACCAAGACTTGTTTTCCTCCAACGCAGCACAGTATACCTCTTCCAGGCAATGCAGAGAAATCTGAGGCGTCATGCAGCCATCCAGAGAATTTGGAGTCCATACCATAACTTTGTGCCTCCTTCGTGGTATTTGATGAAGGTTCATCAAAGAAATGGAAATGGCGGGCATATTCTAATATGGCTTGACCCAATGGATGTTCACTGCTAGCCTGAATCATGGTGAACAATCATTTAAAGGGATGTCATACACTCATATTACTACATTATCGCTTTTACTCTAGCCCAAAAAAGCAAAAACAACACACAACACACACACACATATTTATATATGGCGCAGGT